TAGTTTTTCTATTTTTATCAAATTAATGTCCGCGCCTGTGTCTATCATAAGTGTCACTGCTTCTCTTAATCGTGGAGAAGCCGCAGTGACACATGAAGCCGTCCAAATATTGTTTTGTGTTATGTGTTTGACTTCGACGGGCCCGCTTTCGGATTCGGACTTTGTGGACAATGTTTGGTGTCGGAGAGCGACGAGCGTCGTCCGTCGTTGTTCTCACCCTGTTTTCCTGATTCCTTTTTTCTAGTTGGTACATTAACTTTCGACAGTCAAATATTATGTGTCCCAAGTTCCTACAATAGGAGCATTTTTTTGGACTTTTATATCCTGTTTTTGTTTGAGATTTTGAATTGTTCGGAGAGGTTTGACCGGACTTATTTGAATTATCTTGCCTCCTTTTAAAACATCTACCGTCCGTGTGGCCTTGTTTTTGACAGTAGTCGCATATAGCTTTTCTAAAACAGTAACCTTCTTTATGTCCAGGTTTGTGACAGTGCTCGCAAACAATGTTTTCTTTAATTTGCCGAATATTAGCCACGCGACTTCCAAATGTAGGAGAGGCGTTTCTTTTTTTATCGTCTTTAATCTGCCTGTCGAACCTAAAAATGCTCATCTTACTATCTTCCTCCCTTATTTGCTTGTCTATTTTTATGAGGCAGATTAGGATCTCATCGAAATTATTATAATATTCAAATTTTAAGTCTGTCTTATAATCACGAGGTAGGCCCCTAACGAGCGCATCTAGTCCCTCTCTTTCAATTGCTAATTCGACCCGGCTTTCTACATGCTCTGAGTTTTTCGTTGTTTCATCAAGAACCGATTGAGTAAGCTCTTTTATTCTACTGAAATAATCGAGTATATGTTCGCCCGGCCTTATAAACTCCGTGGCGATTTTTCCCCTATAATAGTTGGATCCGCGTAAAGGCCGAAACGCGTCTTTCAATCTCTCTATAATGTGTTTTACTTTACTAATTCTAAGACCTTCTGTTACCAAGTACGCGTGACCACTAAGCTTAGAAAGGAGAAGCCTTGTTAAAGATGTTTCTATTTCGGTTGAAAAATTCGCCGGCGAAGATTCAAATGCGCGTCGACACGCCCTAGTATACTGTTTTACGGAAACGTTTTGTTCATCAAAATTCGGGACATGTTCTATGAGTTCCCTTTATTTAAACGAAGATTGTGACAAATGGAGAAGAGGAGCGAATCGAGTTATCGTCCTTATTTCTCTAATTTCCCGCCCTAAATCTTCGATTTCCCTTCCTTATTCGTTTTTCCTTTCGGAAAGCGTTGTTATTGTTCTCCGTCTGGGAGCCGTATTTAGAGAAATAGGTCGCGAGGAACCGGGAGTAATAGGTAATGGAACTGGACAGTCCACCGGAGGATCAGTTCGTTCGAAACCCCGAAAACCCGAAAAATCAGCTCCCAAAGATTTTCTCATTTCTTCCTCTTGCAACCTTTTTTCCATTTTAAGTTCACGCTTTTTAAGTTTCTCTTGTTTCTTAAAGTTCTCTTCCTGCGTTTTGGTAAGTAAATCTCGAATATCATAAATTTTCTCTATTCTCTTACGCATTATTGAATCCATGTCGCCAAACCTAGACGTTTGTTCTATAACGGCTTTCGAGGAGACTGGTTTGTCCGGTCTAACTCTTCTCTGTTTTGGCGACATTTTAAATTTTGCAAAATAAAGTTACGGAACAAAAGTTAAAGAATCATGAAATGCAGAGAAAAAATTTAAAAAAGCGGTAAAAGTTAAATTTGAAAAGCTAACTCTCCTTTTGCCGATCACACCGCTGCTACCAGTTTTCTTTTATGTGACGTTCCCGCAATTAAACGAACAACCCCACAAAATTTGCCCTAATTTTGGTTAATCCGTTGAGCCGGTACTTTGCTAGGGATCCGGGCTAGAAGAGCCAGCACTAGTAAGTTCCAAAAGAATAAGGTGTACTTACCTTTGTTAAAGTATCAAGATGAGCTCTGGATCGAATTGTGCTAACTCCCGATAATCCAAAGACATAACAGCTTCTGAATAGATTATGTTGATTAAACAGTCGCAGGATTATAGTGTAATATGGGTTTTATCCAATAGAATAATGTCACTTTTTCACAGGTATAACTAAAGTATATTCTTATATAAAATTACACAATTGATTACACAAAATAATGGAGAAGTCTATCTTCCTAGCCAACTAAATAANGAACCGGGAGTAATAGGTAATGGAACTGGACAGTCCACCGGAGGATCAGTTCGTTCGAAACCCCGAAAACCCGAAAAATCAGCTCCCAAAGATTTTCTCATTTCTTCCTCTTGCAACCTTTTTTCCATTTTAAGTTCACGCTTTTTAAGTTTCTCTTGTTTCTTAAAGTTCTCTTCCTGCGTTTTGGTAAGTAAATCTCGAATATCATAAATTTTCTCTATTCTCTTACGCATTATTGAATCCATGTCGCCAAACCTAGACGTTTGTTCTATAACGGCTTTCGAGGAGACTGGTTTGTCCGGTCTAACTCTTCTCTGTTTTGGCGACATTTTAAATTTTGCAAAATAAAGTTACGGAACAAAAGTTAAAGAATCATGAAATGCAGAGAAAAAATTTAAAAAAGCGGTAAAAGTTAAATTTGAAAAGCTAACTCTCCTTTTGCCGATCACACCGCTGCTACCAGTTTTCTTTTATGTGACGTTCCCGCAATTAAACGAACAACCCCACAAAATTTGCCCTAATTTTGGTTAATCCGTTGAGCCGGTACTTTGCTAGGGATCCGGGCTAGAAGAGCCAGCACTAGTAAGTTCCAAAAGAATAAGGTGTACTTACCTTTGTTAAAGTATCAAGATGAGCTCTGGATCGAATTGTGCTAACTCCCGATAATCCAAAGACATAACAGCTTCTGAATAGATTATGTTGATTAAACAGTCGCAGGATTATAGTGTAATATGGGTTTTATCCAATAGAATAATGTCACTTTTTCACAGGTATAACTAAAGTATATTCTTATATAAAATTACACAATTGATTACACAAAATAATGGAGAAGTCTATCTTCCTAGCCAACTAAATAAAAAGAGTATCTTGAAAAGACTTCTCTTGTTTAACGTATAAAAGAGACAAATCTTAAAGATTTGTCTGAGGCTTTCTTAGAGGAAGAGAGACCCTTACCCACAAAACGTATAAGTATGTATTATTAAAAAGAGATAATTATTATTTTGTTTTAGAAAAATATAGGTTACAATCAAGCGTAAATTCTCCGAAAAGAGGATCGTATTAAGTTACTATCAGTTAGAGATTCTCGGAACTGCACGTGCGTTTTATACTTGAGCTAATAGATTTCCTTTCATTGCACGTGTGCCTTTATCACAACCATGGAACTCCTATGTGCAAGCTAACATTATTACCCTTTAATAAATGTTTTTAATTATTTATTTTATTAATTATTAATAATTGTCAAGGTTCATCCTTGATTAGAAAAAAGAAATAAGATTTATAATATTGTTATTTGCAGCAATTATTAATATAAAAATTAGTGCCAATAATAATTGTTACATTAACTAAATGTGGGACAATTATTGTTTGTAATGTGGGAGCACGAAGTCGGTAACACCGACTTTTAAAAGACCGTTTACCGACTTCAGTTGTCGGTAAGGCAGATTTCCTTAAGAATGACCATCGACACACGTTCCATTATTACCGTATGCCGTCCAAAAATGATAATTATCGATGGTCGTTCATAAGAGCGCCCAATACAAATAGTTTTTACAGCAAATACAATAGAATTATCCTAGTAATCGTAAATAGTAATAATGTAAAATAGAAAAATAGTGTAAAATATAAAAATAAAGTAATGTAAAATAGATTTTACAATAAATATAATATAAAGTGAATAACTTTACGGTTACTTGTTATACAGCGGTAAATTAGGTGAGTAAACCTATCGTAAGCACGCGCAAATGTTAATAATATAATGTTGTAATACTATTAATAATGTAATAAATGTTAATAATATAATATAATGTTTTTACTAAAAATAATAAAGTGACAAAATTTTAAAAATTTTTATAATATATGACAGAAGGACAAGTCACAATCTTTTGAGTATTACGTTTGGTATACCAAATCGCAACTAGGACGTGAAAAGTCCAAAAACAGGAAAAAAATCATTTTATTACCACATTTTTGGTTACTTAACGTGAAGAATACAATTCCTTTTAAACGAAACTCGATTGAAGTAAACCTGACATTTAATCTGTTTTTTTTTCTAGTAGCACATTTTTACCGTCGCTTAAAATGTTTAAATATATTTAGAAAGAAATTTTCGCTAGTTTCTAAATTAAATCGTAGATAAAAACTATCAGATATCCAAAGAAATGCTATATAACAAAAGCTATAAAACTCCTTTTTTTTAAGTTTTAAAGCGTATACTAACAAAAAGAAAGTTTTAGGTCCAATAAAATCCAGCAAATAACATTTATATTTAAACAACTGCAGTCCAAAAAAAGGAAAAAAATCATTTTATTGCAACTGTTTTAAGTTACTTTACGTGAAGAATCTCATTCCTTTAAGAATCCAGTCCAATAAAAGGAAAAAAATCATTTTATTACAACATTTTTTGGTCACTTAACGTTAAGAATTAAATTCTTTTTCAACGAAACTCGATTGTAGTAAACTTGACATTGAATCTTTTTTGTTACTAATAGCACATTTTACCGTAACTAAAAAATTTATCAATATATCTAAAAAAATTTTCGCTGCTTTATAAATTAAATAACAGTTGAAAGCTATCAGATACATAAAGAAATGCTATATAACAAATGCTGTAAAACTTTTGCTTTCAAGTTTTAAAGCGCATACTAACAAATAAAAAGTGTTACGTTCAATAA